TAGAGAAGAGAAAGAGAGGCAGGAAGGAGAGTAGAAAAAACTCTGAATTGTATGATAAGGCTTGAGTTTTCATCCCAGTACTGACACCAACACGCTGTATAATCAGGGGTTATTTCCTCTCCCAAATGAGGAAGCTGGACCTAATGGGTGAAAGCTTTCTAGGCTTAGCTCTGAAGTTCTGATTCTTCAAGGAAAGAAAACAGAGGCCAAGTAACACAGTAGAAAAGAGTCCTCAGCTAGAGTCAGAAGACCAGGGTTTAACAATAGCTAAGTCCCTTATTCTCTCTAAGCCACTTCAAAATGAGTGGTTTGGCCTCAATGGCCTCTCAGATCCTTTTTCAGCTTGAAAAGGATTATCCTCTCATTACAATGTCCTAAAATGAAGTCAAAGGGATAGGGGAAAGTAAAGGGGGAGGGGGGGAGACTCACGCCTATACTCACTTTACACTTCAAAAATCAGATCCAGTATCATTTTCAGGAAGCTTCAGATATCATCAGTAAGGTTTAAGAGCTAAATGAAGGCCATGATAAACTGAATGTAAGATGGGTGGATTTCATAGCCACAGAAAAACCTTCATGTGACTCTCAAGCACTAAGGAACTTTCTTCATCTTCCTCCACAGCTCAACTTGCTGCACACTCCAGTGTCACACCATAAAAAGCCACAGTGCTGCGGATTACTTACTCAAACACTACACAAACTCTCCAAAGCTGGGCTTGTGATCTCACAGACCGAGCCGGGTCACCTTGATGCAAGGCATCACTTTGAAAATGTGTCAGTATGACTTATGAGAACTGTCTTTTCACCTTCAGGGAGTAATGTCTGGGCCACCACCTGCATTCTCCAATGCTGGGTAGAAGCGGTATAACCAAGCCCTTTCATGCCAACAGCTCCGGAGTAAGTCAAGCTGGCTCTAAGCAGCCACCATCCCCAAAGTTTGTGCAGAGCTCCCTGCTCTGTACAAAAAGGAACGGCAAATAAGGTGAAACCGAAAAACCAAACAAAGCACAGCAGTACAATTCCATTTCAGGCAGTGGCAGGTGAGCAGTTTCCTGTGTAGGCAAACACAAGGTAATAAATGCACTTAAGGAAAAATAGTATTAGCTACTCCCAAAAGATGATGGGTTCTAAACAATCAGAAAGCTGACACCCCCCCCACACACACACACAAAAGAGTCTGGGCACCATAGGAGAATCACAGAATTTTACTTCACGAAGGAAGCACAAAGGTGACGTTGTCCAATCCCTACTCAAACTGGGAACGTCATCTACATCCCAGACAAGTCATCCCCCTGCCACTGGCCAACACCTCCAGGGACAAGGGAGTCACACAGTAAGGCAGCCTACTAATTACTATCAAGAGCTTCTTTATACAGAGTTGAAATGCACCTCCCTGTCAAGCAAAGTAAGAAGTCTAATCCCAATTCCATGAGTCAACCATTCCAATATTTTAAGACTGGGACCCCGCTAGCCCATTTTAAAAATTTTTCCAGGCAAAATATTGATTCCTTCCATCTTCAAGAATTTTAAAAAGGAGAAAGGCTAAAGGAATATGGTCAGTCAATGAAACCATGAAGGTTGGAGTTAGGCGAAGAGGAAGAAAAGGAGTAGATATAAAGGATAACACAACCTCGTTTACAAAGCCCCTCCTGAAGCTTAAAAGAGATCCAATAAGAACAACATAATACTGCAGAGATTCAGAAGGCTTGGTAGGAGCCTGTGAACTCAAATTCTACAGGGGAAATAAGCCCCGGAAGGATGAGGAGAAATCAAGAATTAAATTCTGAAGACAGTTATGAAAATGATTCAAAGGAGAAGAGGGAAGGGGAGTTCTCTAAAGAAATTAATGTGGATGCACAGGGAATTCACAAGGAATCTGGATTTTAAAACTACAGTGAAGAATATGGAAGATGATCAAGGAAGATGACAATAAAAGTCTGACATAGTTCTGACGGAAGAGAGCCGGAAGGGCAAAACCCCAAATAAACAAGGAAAGCCAGGGACACACGGAAAGGTTTGGGCTTTTTTCCCCTTCTTTAATCTGCGTCGAGGCACAAGTTCCACTGGCTAGACTGCAGCAGTTCTCAGGACTCCTTCAGAACTGTTCAAAATTAGGGAGGAACTGCCCAAAGAGCTCTGTTTGTGTGGACTATGTCTATCACTATCTGCCATCTGAGAAATGAAAACATCTTAGTGGCAGTATTGTGAACACAGTTTTGACCCTGCAGCCCATGTGTGCGGTCTTGAGGAGCCCAGAATCGTATTCTGCACTCCCTTTCTGGCTCTCCTTCACAGGCGGGGCTTTTTGTTATTGTTAATTATTAGAAAATAAGCTCTTCGAAGACAGGGGCTGTCCTGCTTGCCTGTACTTTTATCTCGAGTGCTTCTCAAAGTGCCAGGCACACAGTAAACGCTTATTAAATGCTTTATCATTTGCTCCTTCTTCGACAAATATGAGCAGATATGAAAGAGACTCAGAATCCTTTGGGGGAGGGAAGAAGGGTTCATTAAAAGTCTTGTGTAACAGGAGGCACCTGAGCGGAGCCTCGAAGGATTCAGAGGAAGAGATGAGAAGGAAAAGCTATTCCAGAGAAAGCCTGTCCAAAGGGCCAGAGACCCAAAATGGAATGCCTCCTATGAGGGACAGCAAGTGGATCAGGAGTAACACGTGTTGAGTTTGCAAAGCCAGCCAGGAGCCAGAGCACCTTCTGTTCGGCCCTAGAGGCAGCAAGGTACCAATGAAGTTTCTTGCCCAGGGAAGTGATCTGAACAGACCGGATTTAAGAAGATCACCCGGCAGCTATATGGAGGAAGGGCTGAAGAGAGGAGAAACCCGCACAAGCAGATCAATTAGGTGGCTATTACAAGAGTCCAGGCAAGAGGCAATGAGCGATGAAAGTGCTGCTGGCTGAAAACTGCCCATCACAACATAGGAGATACAGGTCTAAAGCTCAGTGCCTGGCACACAGCAGGCACTTCATAAATGGTTACTAATTGATTCAGCAGGGAGTAAGTAGAGCTAGACTTATTACTAGAGGTAACTCAATCCATTAGAGCTCAGAAGATCACCTCAGAGGCATAGGGTGAATCAGCTTAAGCCTTTAGGTATACCCACAAATGGAAAACAATTTTCTGTGAGACAGAAATGGTCCAATGGCTTCCCAAGGGCCCAGCCAGCAGCCACTGCTACCTGTCCCCCAGAGCCCCAAGGCCTTCCTCCCTCAGAAGACGCTGTCTCTCAAGCCCAAGGCAAGTGGCTACAAAGCAACTCATCTGCTCTTTAGTCACATGAAAAAATGCTCTGGATCACTATTGATTAGAGAAATAATGCATATCAAAACAACTCTGAGGTACCACCTCACACCCATCAGACTGGCCAACATGACAAAACAGAAAAATGTTGGAGATGTGGGAAAATTGGTGGAAGCATTGTTGGTGGAGTCTGAACTGATACAACCATTCTGGAGAGCAATTTGGAACCATGTAGCCCAAAGGGCCACATGTACGAAAATATTTATAGCAGCTCTTTCTGTGGTGGCCAAGAATTGGAAATTGAGGGGGATGGCTGAACAAGTTGTGGTCTATGAATGTAATGGAATACTACTGTGTTAGAAGAAATGATGAGCAGGAAGACTTCAGAAAAACCTGGAAAGACTTATGTGAACTGATGCTAAACGAAGTGAGCAGAACCGGGAGAACGTTGTACACAGTAACAGCCACACTGTGCAATGACTGACTCAGATAGACTTAGCTCTTCTCAGCAATACAAGGATCTGAGACATCTCCAAAAGACTCAATGGAAAATGCTATCCACGTCCAGAGAAAGAACTATGGAGTTTGAATGCAGACCAAAGCACACTATTTGCTCTTTTTTGTTGTTGTTTTGTTCCTTCTTTCTCTTGGTTCCTCTCATTGGTTCTAATTCTTTTTTACAACACAACTAATGTGAAAATAGGTTTAATATGAATGCATATGTAGAGCCTATATCAGATTGCACTCCATCTTGGGAAGGGAGAGAAATTTAAAACTCAAAAGCTTATGGAAGTAAATGCTGAAAACTAAAAATATATAAATTAAATGTAAATATAAATATAAATATAAATTAAAAAAAGGAAATGATGAGCAGCAGATTTAAGGGGGGAAAAAGACCAACCAACTAAGAAAAAAAAATAAATCTATTTTCTTATCTATGAAATGGGAATAATGATGATGCCTGTAGTGCCTATGTCACTTGGTAGGTATGAAATTCATGTAAAACAATGATTCTAAAATTCTTTGTAATTCAAAAAGCACAATATAGAGTACTAAATTAAATTCTGAGCAAATAACAGGGATACAGCAGGTGCATAGGAGGGCAAAGTAGGTAAAACGAGAAAGTAATTGGTAACTCTGATATATTAAACAATAGCTTTGTACCTAAACATATTTAGTAGAAATTCTGGAAGCTAAGTTGTATGGACAAAAATTATATTGTCTTTAAAAAGGTTATGGGCTTAAAAATGGACATTTTGCAGAAATATCTGGCACACTGTGACTCTTTGGTGGGGAGGGGTCACAAAGCAGAAATAACGTCTAATTCTCCTTTCTACTTCATCATTGTTCCCTGAATCATCAACTAGTTTAGCACATGAGGAAATGAAGTGTTCAGTAAAATGTATATGGAGCAGCTATAAAAGAAGAGGCATTTATTATAGTGTTTGTAACCTATTATTAATATATTTCTAAATCCTGTCACAGGGCAGATGGTCTGGCTTTGAGTCCCAGCAGCCTTCACTGATAACTTCTGTGAACTTGGACCAATGACTTGTCCTGCCTCAGCCTAAGCTTCCATGCATGTAAAACATGAGGGTCAGGTTCAAGTACTCTGAATGGAGATCCATTTCCCATTAAAAAAAAACTATTATCTTAGGAATTAAGAAACATTTTGTACTCAATGCTCAGGGTCACACACAGCTGGATGTAAAGGGGTTGGAAGTCTTTAAAGTATGAGCGATGCCTACCTGGCCGGCACAGGTCCCCCATGCTGCTCCTTCTCACTGGCATAGACCTCCATGCACCAAGCATGATATGCAAATGAGAAGAGATCCTCTATCTTCGAAGGCGGCCGGATTGCATTGTTCAGTCTCTTAAGCCACTCTTGACACTGCTCAAAGGTTGAGAACTGACACCTTTTTAAGGATCAAAAAAAAAAAAACCCAACAAAAAACAAAAAACCAATTAATCAACAAGCCACAGTCTGGGGCCTCAGGTGCCAGGCACTACGCTAGCTGGTGGGGAAATGAAAAAAAAAAAAAACCTTAAGAGCACTTATGTTCTAACAGTTGAGATGATGGATATGTGTAAATTAGGATTTTGTCTTTAAGGACCTTCCCATTCAGATCTCATCAAATGCTCTGTTTTATACTACTGAATGTTCTTAGGTAACAGAATCTATGTGAGTTAGAGGTATCTGAGACTTGAACTCCTGCCAAACCGGAAGTCTCCTGAGCACAAACACACGTGTGGCCAATTCTACAATGACACTGCTGAGGTATGTGTTCTGCACTGACGGAGGAAGTGCATCTCAGAAGAAAGGAAGGTCCTTGGAGTCACTGATGGTTCAGGTCTAAAGCCTGCCTCTGGTATACACTAGAGATGATGGGCAAGTCATTTCATTTATTTCCTTCCTCCCTGTCTCTATCTTCTGGCCTCTCTCTCTCATACTTTACATTACTGATGAAATGCTGGTCTACATTAGTGCGAAAGTCCAAAAACTGAGGAATGCCTTACATCAATGCAATCACAGGTTTGAACACAAAAAAAGTGGGCAAGACTTTGTATCAATGCCCAGGGTAGACAAAGACAAGAAACAAAATTTGGCATGTTCCTGGCCCCAAGAAGTGCTGGGCACAGAGTAGCGGATCACAATTTTGCTGAAATGAACTGCTGAAATATCAATTATTCAAAAGGGAAGGGGACAAGCATTTATCACTGCTGTTGAGTCACTTAGCTATGTCTGACTCTCCACCACCCCATCTGGGATTTCCTTAGCAAGTGGCTTGCCCTTTCTTCTCCAGCTCATTTTACAGATGAAGAAACAGAGGCCAACAAAGTTAAGCGACTTGCCCAGGGTCACAGAGCCAGTAAATGTCCAAGGCTGGATCTGAACTTAAGTCCTCCTGACTCCAGGCCCTGCGCTCCTTCCTCTGCACTACCCAATTATGTCTAAGAAGAGAAAGCAAATAAGCATATGAGTCACTTCAAGACCAACTAGACAAAGTCAAAGAAAGTGAATATGGTAAGTCCTGATTCTCCATTTAACGAGCTACGCTTTCTTAGGCAAGTCACTTCACCCTGATGGGCCTCTGCACTGGTCAAATGGGAATGATCATAAGCTCAAACGGTGGTGGTGTCCAGGAGAGCCAATGAGATCATGGATAACAAGTGCTTTATAACTGTAACATCTGGCATGAATAGAAGTTACTGCTATTATAGTTATTGTTAAATTACATTCAGGTAATCATCCCTTCCCTCTCATAATTTCTGAATCTGCCTCCACATTAAAAAGTAGAAAGTTCTTCAGAAACATCTCCCTCAAACCATTCCATTTTCTGAATCTAAAAACAGAAATCAGCCATCAAAAATTCACTCTCCACCACTATTCCTCTTGGTTTTAAGAGGGCCAAATGAAGTGCTGGATCTGCACGCAGACATCTAAACTAAGTTGGACGTTTTTTTAAAAAGCTAATGAAATTTGTCATTCAGCTCACCAAAAGTAAGGACCATCATGGCATTTCATACACCATGGACAAGAATGTACTAGCGTAACTCCATAAATCATTTTTAGAAGAGGCTTCAAACAGTGAGTCCCTCTCCATCTTTTATTTAAATCATTCATTAAATTAAATGTCAGTAGCATTTTTCTCAAACAGTATGTGGCCTCACTCTGCTTTTGTGGGTTATAGGCAACTTTAATGCAGGTGAAGAAAAAAAAACAACACAGGACTAGGAGGACCCCATTCCCTAAATCCTAGCTGTTGTTCTCAATCGGCTGGCCAGATGACCTTCTTTGTATAACCTCTTCATATGAACTGAAGTCACTCCTCTTCACGTGCAGAGATACTTGAACTACCTACCCGGTAGTATTAGCACAAGGGAAGTCCTTGATGAACCATAAAATGACAGCTGTGTATGTATGTGTGTGTGTATATACACACACAGAGAGGGCTATTATTACAATGATAAATAACAATAAATTAATTTTAAAAACATTTTTAAATTTTTCCCTTTCAGAAATTAGGGTATGGGTGGGGATTTTCACATTTTTTTTTTCTGGGAGGCACTAAATAACAATTACATTTAAAATATTCAGGGTAACTTTAAAATCAATATGACACAACTGTCTTTGATAAGACGATCTCTAAAGTCATTTCAACTCTAAATCCTCTCATTCTACAAATTCCTTCTATGTGCAGTGGGCAGACTGATGAAAAATCGCCCAGTGCCTCCCCAGAGGGAGCTTATGATCTACTAAACCAATCTAAGATATCTACATAGACACATTCAAGTAATGGGTAATGAGGACCAACGAAGAAAAGGCTTTCAGCCACAGGCAATGAAGGAGACTTCGTGGAGAAGGCAGGCCTTGAGCTAAGCCATAGATTCTTGGCCAATGTCACCAAATACACTCCTGTATACAGAACGGTCAGCTCAGGTAGGGGTGATAATGCTTTTTATTCACCTGAGAATCCACCAGGAGCACCTATGGTATAACCCTGCACGTAGCAGGCACCAATAACTTGGCTGAACCGAATCTGAACTGACATGAGCATTTCCCTAGCACAGCAGGGCGCTCGGTGGTCACAGCAGACCCACAACTTCCTGGGCTCAATGAGGTGACAAAGGAACATATGGGCGCACACCGCTTTTTCAGGAGAACATGCTGCAAACCTTAAGCTAGCTTTTCCAATAGGACCCAGCACAATTTAATGGGCCACCGTCCAGCGGACCCAGCGGCCTCTCTGCTGCCTGACTGCAGGACTACACTACCAAATGGGCTAGAGCCTGTTCCATGAGAAGAAGCCAGGCAAAGGGAGCCTACAACACACAGTCAGATCCTGTGGGAAGCTCGAGCCCAAGGGAGGACTTCATCTTCTCCCCACTCCCACACCAACGCATCAGCCGCTGCGCTATGCACTGTGGATCACGCGGCTCCTGCCGATGCCCGGAAAGAAGCACCTCCAGAGCTGGAAGGAGCTCGCAGTCAACTGGACAAGCATTTAAGTGTATCCGAGGTGCAAGGTGCTGCGAGGCCACCCAAACCAAGGAGGCACACTCCCTTCAGAAGGTGATGAGAAATCCCCATTCAGGGAACTCTGCACCCACACCCACCTGCTCTCAGCACTTTTCCACACGAAAAGGCAGCAAGTGTGCACGTACCTGATAACTTTGCAGTCTTTGCAAGTCAAATGAAGTTGAAATATATCTCGGCATTCAACACTCTCGATGAGCTGTAACGGAACCTGCAATTAAAAAGATGAAATCCCTTTATTCCAGAAGGTGCTGGCACCGGGCTGATGAGTGGGGGGGAGATGAGTGTGGGGGGAATAGACTGGGGGGTTCTGGGGGGGAGACAAGCAGGAGTACAAACACATCTGGACCAACAATGCTTCCAGCAATTTCCCATTCAGTGAATTAGGTCCCTAAAGCCAAGGTTACAAGCATGTTGAATCACAAAGGGGAAACAACAGCAACAACATCACCAGCATGTCCCCCACAGTGCCCTGGCTGGAAATAATTTCTCAGCGCATCTTTAAAAGGCACAGACAACAAAGGAAACCAGACGTGATTCTTCTTCTGAAGCTTCTCCAGGCTCCAACCTTTCACAGAAGATGCAACAATGGAGAGTGAAAAGGACAAGGGTCAGGGGCCCCTAGAGCTTGGCAATGGGGAGATACTTGGGACCTTTGGAGAGAGATTAGACTGCTTAATGCAACCTCTTTATTTTACAGAGAAGGAAATTGAGGTTAACAGAGAGCCCGGTGACTCTACTGAGGGCCAACAGCTCATTAGCGGCCAAGCCTGACACTATAGATCACTCTCCTCCCAAGATCCTCTCTTCTCCCTAGGTTTTCAGGAAACCACGGTCTCCTGCTTCTCCTCCTACTCTCTCACCGCTCCTTCTGTGTCTCCTTTGCTGGAGCCTCTTCCAGATCACCTCCTCTGGCCACAGATATCTCTCAGGGTTCTATCCTGGGCCCTCTTCTCTTCTCCAACTATACTTCACCTGTTAATCTCATCAGTTCCCATAAATTCACTTATCACCTCTATGCTGATGACTCTCAGATTAACTCTAGCCCTAACCTCTCTACTGACCTCTCAGCTCACATATCCAACTGCTTGTTAGACTTCTCCAGCTGTATGTCCTGTAAATATCTTCAATTCAACACATCCAAAATCAAACTCATTATCTTTCCCTCCAGGCCCTTCCCTCTTCCAAATTTCCCTCTTACTGTCGAGGGTGCCACCATTCTTGAAGCACCCCAAACGCACAATCTGGATGCCAGATTTCTGCCTCTTTCTCACACCCCATAGTGGTCATTTCCTCTGACAAGACCCTCCGTCTTCCAGCTCTGGGTATTCCCACTGGCGGCCATCCGATGCCTAGAATGCTCTCCATTCCTCGCCTCTGCCTCCTAGTTTTTTTCAAATCCCAGATAAAACCCCAATTTCTACAGGAAGCATTTCCTGACTCCCCTTAATGCTATTGTCTTCTCTCTATTGATTATTTCCTATTTATCCTGTCTCTATCTTGTTTACACATATTGATTTGCTTGCTATCTCCCTCATTAGACTGTGAATTGAGGACAGGGACTATTTTTTGTCTTTCTCTGTATCCCTAGCACTTAGGACAGTGCCTCATACATAGTAGATGCTTAATAAATGTTTGGAATTTTTAAAAATTTCTCTTTAAAAATTTTTAAAATTCATTTTAAACTTAAATACAAAACAAAACAAAAAAAAGGAAAAAAGGTCATTTCCATATATATAGCAGGACATAAGAGAAGATTCAATATAAAACAATAAATTTCCACTTCACAAAAACCTATGTAATAAATCCTACACATTATTTTCAAAGCTAACCAGCTTTTCTGTGCTTCCTTCTAAGTTTTCTTCTCTGCAGTGCACTTTTTTTTCCTCCCTCCCTCCCCTTTCCCATCTTAGAGAAGGCTACAATTAAAAGTGAATACACACACACACAAATATCTATAAACATACACATATACATCATACATATAAAATCATACTATGCATGTTTCTATTTGTCAGTTCTTTCTCTGGAGGTGCATGGCATCTTCCTTCATAGGTTCAAGTCTTTCCACGTTTTTCTAAATCAACCAGCTCATCTTTTCTTATCTCACAGCAGTATTACATCACAATTATATACTATCTGAGAAATTGTCTATGAAAGGTTTCTGCCAATTATCTCTTTTCTTTCTAATCTTCACTACACTGGTTTTAATTATACAAGAAATTTTTAATTTAAAATAATCAAAATTATCCATTTTACACTTCAACAATGCTCTTGTCTTATAATTTAAGGCCTACTACTGCTGAATCCCCCTCCTTTACATCCCCCCCGTTTCTCTAAAATTCCTGACCTTTTGTTTTTCCAAATGAATTGTTATTATTTTTTTCTAATCCAATAAAACAATTTTTTAGTAATTTAATTGAGATGGCATTGAATAAATAGATTAGTTAGGTAAAATTGCCATTTTTAATTCATACTAGCTTTACCACCCATGAACAATGAATATTTCTCCAATTATTTAAATCTGACTTTATTTATATATAAATATACATATATTTATTTATATATAAATACATGTTTTATATTTATGTTCACGTAGTTTCTATTTCTGATTTGGCAGGTATACTCGCAAGTATTCTATACTATCTATTCATTTTAAATGATCTAAAACAATACTGAATAATATTGGTGACACACAGTGTAGTTTTCCCTATTTTCCCCTTACAATTAAATCTATTTTAGCTTTAACTTTGTCTAAGATCATGATTATCACCCCTGCTTTTTTTACATAATAAATTCTATTCCAGACCTTTATTTTATCTCTGTGTGTATCTCTCATTTTTATTGTGTTTCCTGAAAGCAATATACTATTGAATTCAGATTTTTAATCCATTTTGCTACATTTCCTTTTTATGGGGAAATTCATCCCACTCACATTCTAAGTTATAATTATTTGTTGTGCATTTCCCTCCATCCTATTTTTCCTCACTATCGTTCTTGCCCTATTTACCCTATCCCTTCTCACCCAGTCTAATTTACTTCTACCTTCCACCTCGCTCTCCTATTCCTTAATCTACCCGTCCCTCCTGGAGTCTCTCCCTTACTCTACACCTTAATCTACCTATCTTTCTAAGAGTTTCTCCCTTAATCCCTCTCCTAACTCTTTTTTTTAAATCAATTTATTTTGAATTATCAACAATTACTTCCACAAACTTTTGGGCTTTAAATTTTTCTCCCCCTCCTTCCCCAAGACGGCACGCAATCTGATATAGGCTATATATATACATTCCTATTAAACATATTTTCATATTAGTGATGTTGTAAGTAAGAATTAGAACCAACAGGAGGAAACACCAGAAAGAGGAAACAAAACACAACAGAAGGGAAAAAAAGCAAATAGTATGCTTCAATCTGCATTCAGACTCCATAGTTCGTTCTTTGTGGACAGCATTTTCCATCATGAGGCCTTTGGAGATGTCTTAGATCCTTGTATTGCTGAGAAGGATTAAGTTTATCAATATTAGTCATTGCGCAATGGGCCTGTTACCACGTACAACATTCTCCTGGCTCTGCTCACTTCACTCAGCATCAGACCACACAAGTCTTTCCAGGTTTTTCTGAAGTCAGCCTGTTCATCATTTCTTATAGCACAATAGTATTCCACTACATTTATATACCACAACTTGCTCAGCCATTCCCCAATTGATGGGCAGCCTCTCAATTTCCAATTCTTTGCCACCACAGAAAGAGCTGCTATGAATATTTTTGTACATGTGGGTCCTTTTCCCATTTGTTTGATCTCTTTGGGATACAGCCCTAGAAGTGCTATTGCTGGATCAAAGGGCATGCACATTTTTGTAGCCCTTTGGGCATAGTTCCAAATTGTTCTCCAAAATGGTTGGATCATTTCACAACTCCACCAGCAATGTATTAGTGTTACAATTTTCCCACATGTCCAACATTTATCATTTTCCTGTTTTGTCATGTTGGCCAATCTGATAGGTGTGATGTGGTACCTCAGAGTTGTTTTGATTTGCATTTCTCTAATCAATAACGATTTAGAGCATTTTTTCATATGACTATAGATGGCTTTAATTTCATCATCTGAGAACTGTCTTCATATCCTTTGACCATTTAACAATTGGGGAATAGCTTGTGTTCTTATAAATTTGTCTTAATTCTCTATATATTTTAGAAATGACGCCTTTATCAGAGAGACTGGTTGTAAAAATTCTTTCCTAATTTTCTACCTTCCTTCTAATCTTAGTTGCATTGGCTTTGTTTGTGCAAAAACTTTTCAATTTAATGTAATCAAAATTATCCATATTGCTTTTCATAATGTTCTCTATCTCCTGTCTGGTCATGAATTCTTACGTTCTCCATCAATCTGATGAGTAAACTATTCCTTATTCTCCCAGTTTACTTATGGTATCAGCCTTTATATCTAAGTCATGAACCCACTTTGACTTTATTTTGGTATATGGTGTGAGATTTGGGTCTATGCCTAGTTTCTGCCATACTCTTTTCCAGTTTTCCCAGCAGTTTTTTTCAAAGAGTGGGTTCTTATCCCAGAAGCTGGGGTCTTTGGGTTTATCAAATAATAAGATTACTATAGTCATTGACTACTGTGTCTTGCATATTTTACTGATAACATTTTCACATATAAAAAGTAAACAGTTTGACCTTACTGAGTCTCTCCTAATTGATTTTTAATGTTTACTTTATATTTCTCCTAGATCTTATATGCTGAATTTTCCATTAAGTTCGGCTCCTTTTGTCACAAACACCTGAAAGGTTTTCAATTTATTAAATGTCCATACTTATCCCCCATTCAGGAGCACACTTAACTTTGCTGGGCAAGTTAATCTTGGTTGCAACCCTAGCTCTTTTGCTCTACAAAATATACTGTTCCAAGACCTACAGTCCTACAATGTAGCAGCTGTTAGGTCTTGTGCAATCCCTGACTGCAGCTCCACAATACTTAAATTGTGTTTTTCTTGTTGCTTGCAATATTTTCTCCTTAACCTGGGAGCTCTGAAACTTGGCTATGATATTCCTGTAAGTTTTCCTCTTGGGATTTCTTTCAGCTGGTGATTAGTGGGTTGATTTTTTTTTGTTGCTGTTCTGTTTTGATTTTTCTACTTCTGCTTTACCTTCTTGTTCTAGAACTTCACAGAAATGTTCCTTAATAATTTCTTGTAATATTGTATC